TATCAGGGTTGCTAGGCAACCTGGGCAGCGCGACGGAGACTAGACCATCCCATACAGCCCATGTGTTTGCAACAAACTTGCCGTTTATTTTGCAATTCGAGCTCAACACTGCCCCTAGCGTCCTGGAGCACTTCCGTTGTGTTTTGGAGTTTGCATGTGTTTTGAATTTTGTAAGTGTTTTGGAGTTTGTAAGTGTTTTGGAGTTTGTACATGCTTTGTCTCTAGGGGCCACCGTACCTTAGGCCCAGGTAAAAGTGCAAAACACACCTGAACACAAGCAGGGTAAAGAGAGAGGAAGCATACAGCAAGAATACAAAGGAAATATGACTATCAAAATAAAATAGGAAATAACTAGACTGGGAAACATAAAACGGGACTGATACAGGAGGGAGAACAATTAACAAATAACACACTGTAACCAAAACGTATTCTCTCCTTTTGATCATGATTATTTATTAATTATCATCGTTATCATTTTATCCTAACACTTTCACAGATCGTCACATTTATACCGTACACAAAACATACACTGCTGGATATCAGATTCCATCAACTACCAAGCAGAAAACAAAAGGCAGCTCGTCGATATTTTATTATGAAATCAGGAGGAAGTAGCTTCTGTCCTGTGGAAAACGTAAACATACACAGTACCTTACAATAACAGCACTAAATAAATAAACAAACCAAAAATGAAATATGAATTTGTAAGTTTCGGGTTCCAAAGTTTATTCAGACTCCAGGCGTCGCTTACTTAAACAGAGCCTTCAAATGGGCAACAATGATTAGTGTAACAAGGGTTTAGTCTTGTCAGCATATCTTTATTTTAAGTTCAGGTCAGCACGTGAACACATCAAAGTGATTCATAACTAGGTTTTTAACGAGACGTACAGTAAACATTTCCTTGGAATTTATTTTAAAATATGCACTGTGAACACTAGGTGGCAGTGTGGGACAATGACTGGATGTCATTAGATATAAGTGAGCCTCGGTCTTTAAATCTGTGACATTCCTGCTTTTATTTGAACAGGCTGCTCTTCCCAGTTGTTTCATTTCTCCAACAATCTTCTTCCCGGCATCAACTACTCATTTTAACAAGTGAAACTGTTTGCTTGTGTTTCCTTGTCTGGTCCATCACTGGCCTTGGGAGACCCAACCAGGAGGTGCGGCTATCAAGGTCAGCAGGTCAGCTCCACATGCTTCAAAGACCAAAACAAAGTATTATGTGAATGATTACTGAAAAGTAAATATATTTATTAGTTAATTATACTGGGTGATTTAACTAATTTCTTTATATGAACTGAGAATACAGGAAAATGAAAATGTGAGTATGAGGCACTTCGGCTACGTTCACACTGCAGGTCTTAATGCTCAATTCCGATTTTTTGATCAAATCCGATTTTTTTGTCTTCACCGGTGCTGATAATCGGCGTCTGTCGTGTCAGTGACGTAAAAGACAGATTTAATGCAACATGACCATCAAACAGCAGTCGCTTTCTGAAACATCAGATATGTATCGGATTCAGCACCACATACGAAAGTGACCCAGGTCGGATTTGAAAATATCGGATTTGTGCCGTTCACACTGTCACACCATGATCGGATATGGGTAACATAGGGTCAGGAAAGTCGGATTTGATGCGCTTTCGCCTGCAGTGTGAACGTAGCCTAAGAGACCAAAAAAAAAAAAAAGGCTTTCCAAGAAATTTGAACTCTTCCGGTTTTTGGTTTATTACCTAAAAACAACCAGACTGAATGTTGCTGGTTGCAAAACCTCCCATGCCTCCAGCAGATCATATCGACATATAAAACACCATAAGACTTTATTTTTCCCTTAAAGACCTCCAAGAGTCATACCCGCTCCACTATGTCATCTCCCCACAGCAAAGGTTAAAAAGCAGCACTCAAAGAATCACAGTTATATTTGTTTATTACCAGATGATTGCACACAGGTTTCTAGCTGTACAGCAGGAACAGAACTTGGACATAAGGTAAGAAATTAAGGGATAAAAGATTATCCTGTGAGTATACATCACTCTACCTTTCGCTCCAAAGCACATACACACACAGTGTGTGAAATGATTTGTATAATAAATATGCATACCGGTTTCATGTTTCCCAGTTACAGTGTAATCAAAATGAACATGTAGATAAGTAACATACACTGGAGGATATCTGAGCTGGGTAGTTTGTTGAACCAGAAATACATGCACAAGCAGATAAACATAAAAAAAATCAGCTGTAGCACAAATTTAAATAAAGCCCCATCTAACAGAAGCCTGGTGTCTTACTGCAAAGTGCTCCACGCTCAAGTGCAAAAATAAAGAATCTAAATGAAGAGCTTCAAACACACAGACACACAAATGTGTACTTCTGTAAAAACAAAACAAAACATAGGAAGCAGGTCATTGTTATTAACTTTATAAATACTCCCCGTCAGCTACAGTCACACAAAATCAAAAGCATGTGGTTATCTTCCTGCGTCCAGACTGCTGGGAGCAGTAAGGCTCATCACATCTTCCAGTTTGTGTCCACTCCGTAGCCGCGCTGTACTGTTTCCATCAGGGATGCTGCATCAGAGCTGCAACGCACGTCCATCTTCCTCTTTACATGTCAGCAAAATGAGGTGTACAAATACAGCTCCTCCCTACCACACCAAAAACTACAACACAGTTTAAAAGAGCATCCTGGTTTAAGTCTTTTCTGTAATAATATACGTCGTCTAAATCTCTTCTGACTCACAGCATTTCATTCTTTATACCATCTGCTTGTCACCACACTCAAAATCTACCAACCACACATCAAATGTTTTTTGACAATGGTTTGGAAACTATTCATAAAATCAAATATTTTGGTCTCTATGGATCGTTCCTACCTTCATAGCTGTATTGCAAGTGAATTTCCGAATAACTCCAGTTTTATTAAGGCTTAATGTTAGAGGTAAGGTCGCTTTCACTATGTGCTGACACAACCGGCTGTAGCTGGTATCTGTCTGTTCGACCTTACTTCCCCCAGCTGAGTCACTAAAACTGGACCTCTCAGCCGTGAGCGTGCTGTACAGACTGTATCAGAAGTTCATCCTCCAGCTTTAGTGACTGGAATTCTAATAATATTATAGCCTCTTAATTAGCAAGTATGTGTATCAATGCACCGCATCTATGCATTTTAGCTGATATCTTATTACAAAAGTCTCAGGTCTAAATATGCTAACGTCTGGCTCCAAAGAATCAACATGGCACCAGCCAAAGCACTATAGCTAAAGGCTTTGAAATGAAGAATCCACAGACCAATGGTTGACATCACAGTTGCTTCATCCATCTTTTATATACAATATAAATTAAAGATTGGTGTGTATAAATTGCAGAAAACCAATCCCTACCAACACTCTTTTGCAGGGATTAGTGCTGTCCAAGTTAGTTTGAAGAAATGCAAACATGAATTTTTGCCCTACACTGAACGATAATGGTTGCAGCTGACCATACTCCAGTGGTGCACAGTGCTAGGGATGTAGGTCTGGATATACAAATAATCCTCCAGCATCACACTAGCTAATAGAGGCTAGTATATATTCTATACCTGAGTATCAGCATCATGAAAACTACATTTGGGGCAACCAATGCTAGGAATGGGCTACATAGCTTATAGTAAGGTTAGGATTATGGATCACATTCCTTGGTAAAGCAATTTGACAAACTAACCAGCTGTAACAAATGCTTTAGTTACTAAAGCTGATAAAGTAAACTTAAGTTAAGTTCAGCTAAGTTACCATCAGCCCTAGGAGTTTGAATGCATCACTCCTTATCCAAATCAAACTAGCATTTTGTTACATGGGCTAGCTTGCAATTTGCACATTGTTAGCAGGAATGCTAGTACTGATTAACATTAACCAAAGGAAAGACAGAAAAAACAAATGTTCCTACTATAAACTGAATGCCCTGGCAGTAGAGTACTGACAGTAGTTTCAGAGTTTACATTTGTAAGACAGAACTAACATTCCTCTAGCTAATGTTAGCTAATGTTAGCTCATGTTAGCTTGCCTGCCAAATTGTTTAGTTTAGCTAGTTGTTTAGCCTCAGCTGATTTGCTATTGTCACTAGCAAAATATTATGTGAAGTTACATAAATGTTTTTTTTGTCTTTATGTGAAGTTTGTGAAGACCTTGGTGTTTGTTGACATTCCTGGATTTGACTTCTAAGCTAGCACCAGCAGCTCTATATGTAGTGGTTTACACATTTGCCTAACACGTGAATGGTTGTTGGTATGAGACCAAGAGTACAGTCTATCTCTGCCTCATAAAGGGTATAAAATTCTGCCAAATCAGAAACACAGAGCCATCTGCTGTGGCGACCCCTGGTTAATAAGGGAGCAGCAAAAAGGAGCTGTTTCATCAAAGCTACCCTTAGCTAGTGTTGGCACTAGGAAGGGAAAACGAGCAAGGCACTTGGGAGTATAAGCATCTCATCTTTTGGACTTCTGCAGAAAATGGAGGTCTGGATTAAAAAAAGAAGAAGGTGGTAATTTTAATAATATTATTATCAAAATTGGCAGCACTATTGCCTTTCAGCAAGAAGGTCCTGAGTTCAATTCCACCATGAGGCCGGGGTCTTCCTGTGAGTTCTCCCCGGGTACTCCGGCTTCCTCCCATAGTTCAAACACATGCAGTTAGTGGGGTTAGGTTAACTGGTAACTCTAAATTGCCCATAGGTGTGAATGTGAATGGTTGTCTGTCTCTATGTGTTTGTCCTGTGACAGACTGGTGACCTGTCCAGGTGTACCCTGCCCTTTGCCCTAAGACAGCTGTGATAGGCTCCAGCAACCCTGACAAAGAATAAGAGGATGGATGGATAACCAACATCTAACTTTCTGCATTGGAGACGTTACAGTCCTACAAGGTGTGACATCAGCTGTTTTTCTAATTAATGTTAGGATACATGTGTCATCAAGGGAGTATGCCAAGTTATAAATCATTTACTGATTAATTACTACTCATAAACACAGTTAGCTAATTTACACTTATTTTATTAGGAAACTCTGATTTTTCCCAATTCAAATGTATTATTGACACAATCTTTGTGAAAACTAAAACATCTAGAAATTGTCTATACAGAGATGTAAATAAATAATTTAAATAAATTAGCCATTTAGCTCTCGTCACTCATCACTGAGGACACAGTATAAAATATGGATGTAGCTTCCTGTTAGGAAAAATGAAGCCAATGTGGAAGTGCCTGTAAACCTGCATTCATCTCAAGGGACCGATGATGATAGCTGTGGTTGCAAAAAAGGTTTCCAGTCCTCTGGAGGCACTTTGCTGCCGAGCTCAGTCACTCGATTTGACGTCATACTGAATAAAAAATGGAATCGGTTTTGTAAGATGATTATGCCACGTTTCAATAAGGAGGATTAGCTCATTGGCTAATGACTGCCCAGTTGGCAAGTGGATTCAGTCAGGCCTGCCCCTCTTTGTCACATGTCTGGAAACCAGTTCCACATAGAGCGTGTTTGCTTCAGTGGAGATGGGAGGCAGTAATGTTAACCCTGACTGGTTAGATGTATAGATCTGCTCAGCATACAATGTTGGAAGTAATAAAGTAAGCAGCTGAACCCTGACCACCACTTCCTTTACGCCACCGTGCTTCTCACTGTGACAGTTATGTTTAATCCTCCAGCCCAATAGATGGCGCTCCAATCAGCAGTATGTTAGCACAGGCTACAGTGACTGCACAGCTGCTAGAGTCAGTATTAAGCATTGAGTACCCACTACATTTATTGTTTATGCCTTTGTCCACAACAAGCTCCTTCGAGGATTCTTACGACTGGGCTTCTGGCAGGGAGCGGCCGGGCTCACACGACACAGAGGGCCCCGCCCCCACTAATCCATTCGTGTTGTGACACAGTAATGTTTTGGTTGCGACTGCTGACGACGAAGCGCTGCCACCAGTTATGGTACCGTTGAGGTTCCGGTAGGGCCGCTGCCGTGGTAACGAAGCCCTTCTGCGGGGGGCAGGTATGGCAGCTGAACCACGGAGGCACACCGAAGGGAAACTCAGGCCTACCAGGCAGCAGCCTGGACAGGAAATAGCCTCCTCCTGCTCAGAGGGCCCCCTTGGGTCTGAGGACAGGGCTCCACTGTAGTCACTTGACCCTCCTCGACCCCACTGCACTTGCTGACTGATTACCAGGCCTGAGCCGTTGTTGTTGTTCAGTCGTGGCAGAGGAGGCAAGGCAGACGTTGAGAAGGGAAGCCGCCAGCCCTTGGTCCGTACGGAGTTGCAGGAGGTAGAGGTGAGCAATGGTCTTTCAGGTGTAGCGTTCACGATACTGTCTGTTGCCTCAGGAGATTTGGTGCAGTCCATGGGTTCTGTAAAACTTATGCTCTCTTCTTCGTCATCTTCCTCTTCCAATCGCTCCAGAGACACCATTTCCAATTCTACAGGAAAACCAGGATCCTCTGCCACCTGTATTTCCTTTCCAAAAGACTCTCTCCTCACACTTGGCTCATGTCTCATGTCTGCATGGTCAACCTGCAGCCTTCCTTGTATTCTCTCTGAAACCTTCGTCCCCTTCATTGTGTCATCCTTCGTATCCTCCCACGTCCTGTGCTTCATGACCGCCTCTCGAGCGTCCTCGTCCTTTTTTTCTTCCTCCCCCGCTGCGTGTCTGGGCGGAGCCACAGTCCGGCTGAGCTCTGGGGTGCAGGGCAGAGACTGGCACCTTCTTGGAGGCACTCTCATCCCTGACGCTTTTTTAAGAAGGTGGGGGGAGGTGCACATGTCAGGAAGAGCAGGTAGGGTAAAGGTCAGCGAGATGACGGACTTGCTGGGAGTGTCCAACAGTTTGCACCGTCCTCCGTTTAAGTCCTGTCTGAGAGAGAACGGGTTGACCCTTGCTGGGGTCCCGAGTAAAGGAGAAGGCAGGCTTCCTGGAGGTATCGTGTCTGACTGGCTCCTGGCCAAGCCTTGCCATAGCTGAGTGTGGTCCGCAGCGTGATAGGGAGAGCTTCGGCATCGGTACGGGCTGACGTCTGCTGCCACAGGCTCTAACCAAGGGAAACAAGGTGGAAGATGGAAGAGTCAGAGACCACGACAGGTCACGAACCACAGAAAATACAAAGACAACACAACATGTAAGAACATTCTTTTTTTCACTGGCGGCAAGGCGGCATCACCCCGACAAGGTCTCGCTATGCTCCTCTGTCTTCTCTTTGCCCTCACCTCCAACCAGCTGCAGCGAACGGCAGCTCTGTCCTCAGCCTCGTTCTGCTGGAGCTCATTATTATTACACTGGTATTAGGGATGCACCGATACCGATACCGGTATCGATACC